ATAAAAAATTGTTAAAGAACTGTTGCTAAAAGACTACTGTTGAAAAACAGAAGAAGTCTAGAACTTTAATATTTATGGGCAGATTCTCACAGTTCATGCAGGGGTCATGCTCAGTGTTAATACCTTATGAGTGTTAATGGTAGGTGGTGATCAATCTTACTTGCTACTAAAACCTGAGACTACACTGAACACTCACTAAAATAAGGATTACAGTCTTGGGTGGGCCTTTCATAGGTAGTGTATTAAGAAAAGATACAGATGTAGAGGTGGAATTGTCATTTACAGACTGGTTTTAAATAGAAGAGCGGAGAATGGGACCACAAGTCTTTTGACCCCAGAAATTATCATTAGTTATTTGCACGCAAAATATTTGTGCATTGTCTTGAAAAATAGCTGCCACTTTGTTTTACGTGACATGTGGGTGATGCAGCAAGTCAGGATAGAAGTCATGAATGTAAATTATGTTGTTAGGGAAATATGAAAACAGTCTGAGTTCGTGAGAGAATGCTCAGCATACAGAAAGCCTGGGTGCATGTATTCCAGACCAGGGCCAACTGTAGAACACGGTGATTCGTACTCTCATGAACTTCCAAAGTTTCACTGGGCAGCATTTCTCTAAACTGGTTGGATAAAAGGATATCAGTGTGTATTTCTGTGAGTCTTTTGCATGCTAAAACATCAGCTTAATTCCTGGATGTAAATGACTCAAACTGTGACCTACAGCTTGCTCAGTTATGGATGCTGGTGAAGTAGCCTTTAAATAGGAAGCCTGCATGAGGAATCCCAACTGACAACTTGAAACTTTATTATTTAAATAAATTATACTATATATAATAATTATTATATTATTTATAACTATATAACATATTATATAATATATTATATTATTATATAATTTATTTTATAAATAAAATATAATGGATAAATAAATTATTAATTATTTAACTTAAATTTTTTTTCTTAAAAGTTAAAAACATTTCACTTTCTCTACTGTCTAAAAGCAAAAACATTTTTGCCCTTCCATTTGATATTTGTTTAGAGTTTTAAATTTCAATAGAATGTGAAAAATCTGTGTAACTGCTTTGACTGTTTTGGGGGTAATACATTTTTAGTGATCGTTCTTAAAGTGTGATTTTTTATTTTTTTTTTTTAATTCAAGCTTTGATAATTTGAATGATTCCTGACTTAATTTCATATGGAAACAAGTACATTTTGTTTCCTGTAGTACTGTAGATCCTCTCAAAATGTGTAAATATAATACTATTTTTAGCTGAAAATTCAGATTACATAACTTATATGGGTACACGCTTCCCTGTTTTTGTGCTGTGGCATGTGACAAATGTAGGCTTGCCTATCATCACATAAGCAATAACAATTGCTGGAAAAATATTTGCATTCATGGCTAGATTATTTGTCATCCTGATTTACTGGCCTTCAGTCTCTTAATATTGAATAGCCCATGCTGCTTACCTTCTCAACTAAATTACTGAATTACATCTCAATATGGCCTCCTAAGTTCTTCTCAGACTAATTTGCTTTCTGAAACTAAGTGCTTAGATAGAACAACCTTCTGAAAAACTCAGTGTTTGTGATGATGCTGAACAGAAGTTCAACAGATGATCCTGAATGGGTGCTGCAATTTTATCCCAGCAATTTTACCCCAGGAGACTTAGCTTCACTGACATTCAAGAAACCCAACAAAGCAACCAGGAAAATCCCCTAAAAAAACCCAGCAAACTGAAAAAAACCTCATCCATTATCAAGGTATCGAAAGTATACATCCAATAATAATAAACCTGGGAATGAGAAGTAATAGTGTCAATTTCCTAATGGTGACTGAAATAGGCGTTCATGAATGGGCTGCATATCACATCCCATATTGGTTTAAAATGTGGTTTCTCTTTTGTTAATGGCAAGATCCCTGTAGATCAGTAGCAGTTCTATTCCAAGATTAAAATTATGGAAGTACCTTCTTTGGAAACAAAAAAAAAAAAATTTGGAGGATTTGCCAAATACAATGATTTTTGCAATTTTGACTTGAGCAGTGAAAAGCAGCAGAAGTTGGTTTTACTTAAGATGGGTCGTTCATTTGTTTTTTTAACTTACATTGAAACCCATTTCTTGGTATTTCTCAGTAGCTGTTTAGATTGATTTATTTGTTTACATTTTCATAATTGGGTACATGTTTAGTTCAAATTTATGGTTGTGAGCATTTTGTCACCTGTTTTGGAATTGCACTGATTTTATTTATTTCTTTGCTGTGAGTGATCTGGTAATCTGTTAAGCACAGTTTGGTGGACTGCTTCATAGTACACTTCTAATTATTTTTTCTTAAATATGTACAGTAAACCACTGGAAACACTACATAGCTGCTCCTTCTCAGTACAGAACAGTGCTGGTTAAATATGCTAAAACTTAAGGCTATAACTTAATGCTGACTGAAGGCTTCAGATTTTATCTGGAGAAAGAATCCTGCCTCTCTTGAGGTCAACGGGAATTTTACCACAGACTTCAATTGAAAGCGTTGCATATGCAGTGATATATGCAAATTTATGTATTGTTTTGGAATAGCTAATGGTGTAAAATGAAGACATATATAAAACATTTCATAATAAATAGAGTTTTTCATTAGGGCAGAAAAGTTGTTTGTTTATTGCTGTACATAATTGGTATATGTTGGCAAATACCAATATTATAAATATCAATATATATAATGTAAATTATTCTCCCTTATCTGAAAGAAGGTGTTTTGCATTCAGGCATCAGATTTAATTATAGTACTAAGATGAAGTCCCAAGAGAAGTCATAAATGAGTTCTATTTTCATAACATACAGCGCAGTAAATTTTTGAGTCACCACACACCACTCAGTAATTCAGAGCAATTGTCAGATAGAGATTTGAGATCTTTATCTTCCAGTTCAGAAGGCATAAATAATAATGGTTTATGTACTTTGTCCTCACACAGTAACAATTCCATCACTTCAAAGTTCTTAGATTCTGCAACATGAATACATGACCTGTGCTGTAAAGCAGTCTTGGATATTACAAAGCTTTATTTCAGCTTAGCTTTAGTATAAGGAAATAGGGAAATTTGGTTTGCATTAATTTCTGTCAGTTAATGTCTGTTGCTCACATATAGTGGTGATACATTGGCACAAGGAGGAATACTTTCAAAAACTTATGGGAAAATTTTAATGTTGAATTGGGTTTTCCTGTTTCAAGTTTACATTTTGGTGAGTGAGCAGGTAAACCCACCATCAGTCTGCTCTTTACAAGTGTATAAAAATCACTGTGGCTTAGTAATATCAGCCATACAGCACCTGAGGTAAAGATGTAGTCCTCTCAACTTTGTGCTGAAGTTGTTATCAAGTAGTATAGTGAAAGCATGTCATTAGAGCCAAATCTCATGGTTGTGTGCTTTCAGTAGTACATTTGTCTCAAAAATTTGTGCTAAGTGAGAAAGCAAGAAATCAAAGCATGGTTTTGACCCATAGGCTTCAGAAGAAAAAGTGGTGAGATTTTATTTCTGGTACTGAATAAAAAACATAAATTCTCAGTGGCTTGAAGAAAAATGTGCGTCAAGCTATGGTATTGACATGTTAGCACTTGACTATGGAAAATGACTCTAATATGACGAAATAACTACCAAATTATGCACTGTGATTTGCTTCTTCATGCCATTTTTATACAGGTTAGTCAAGGATGGATTCAGCTAGGATGTGATGATAAGGAAAGTATTGCAAGGAATTAGAATACCAGGTGTTTGTTCTTGACATTAGGAGTATGAAGTGAGAGAATGAAATTAAGTAGCTGTGAAGGGCAGTGTCTATTCTCAGATTTGGAGACATTTTAGTATTTTTATACATATTTTATGACCCAATTATGTTATCAGGAAACCTATTTATTGGTAATTGCAATTGGCAATTCTGCTTTCATTTTCACATTGTTTTCACATCATACACTTTCTCTTGCCAAGAAGCTGTAGTTAGTTCTATGGCAGTCAAAATGGAAGCTGGAGATATAGTAAGGAAATATTACTGTACACTGAACTTCCCCTTTCACCAAGAGATATGCTACTGACCCCAGTGCTTATCTCACACAGTGGCAGCAGCACAGATAGGATAGAAAGCAGACAGATGGCTTTGGTAGCCTAATGTAGACAATCCATTTCCTTATTCTAGGAGCAGAAGGAACTGAAAGTTGTGGCCAGCAGAAGCTCCTCTATTTCTACTGCAGCACTCTTAAAGCTCTGTTTGCTATCCAAGTCACATTTGTCATCATTGAAATACCACTAGAGGTTCATGTGACTCCTAGCTACCATTCAGTGGATCTATCAGTCCTGCTTTTCCATGCTTTGTTTCCTGGAATGTCATTGTAATGCCACCACAGAGCTATTGTCATTTTTTGGTTTGAAACTCTCCATATTGATTCAGAGCCCTAGTTATTCAGTTATTGATTCAGCTCTAGTTATTTTCATGGATCAGTCTCAATACATGTCTATTTCATCTGCCTGTCAGAGTTCATGGAAACTTCTGGAAGATGCTATTAATCACATGGTTTAGATTCAGATAGTCCTCCAAGGAGCACAGAATTAGATTCAATCCTTATGGATCCCTTTCAATTTGAGACATCCTATGGTCAAAATTCTAGAGCATACATTGTTCTATTGCATGCAATAGTATAGCAATCTTAAGGTGACAAATTTCAATATACATTTAAAAAGCAATAATTTACTATGATTTTTTTAATGAAGAGTAGTGACTCTTGTTACTAGATCTTGCTCTAAATTACAGTTAGCCTATGACAATGATTAAAAATATTAAAGTCATGATAAAAAGACTAAATTTTTTAACATCAGGCTGACGTATGTTTAATACTAGCCAAGGATGTAACGAAAGACATAGTCTCACTTCATTAACTCAAATAAATCTTTTTGTATCTTGCATACAATTAAGCAAAATGTAATTACTAAATAATTTTTTTATTTTTTTTTCCTAAGGGTATTTTGGTCAGGATGGCCATTTTGGATCATGTGAAAACAAGTACTGTGGTCTGGGCAGACACTGTGTTGTGAATGGGAAGACTGGCCAAGCCGAGTGTCTGTGCATGGAGCACTGCAAACCACATTACAAACCTGTGTGTGGGTCTGATGGAGAATTCTATGAAAACCACTGTCAAGTGCACAGGGCTGCTTGTCTGAAAAAGAAAAAGATCACCATTGTACACAATGAAGATTGTTTCTTTAAAGGTAAGCATGGCTGAACAGTATCTGCAGTATTGCTATTGGATATTTGTTTTCAAGCTGTTCAATTAAATCTCTATACTGTCTGCTACTGAGTGTACAGTGAATAAAGGACTTGAAAAATTTATACAGTAAGTACTGTAAGCAGTCCAGAGATACCTTATGGATTTTTTTGTCTTTTGTTTATACTCAATGCTCTGGGTAATAACCCCTTTTTAACCTGAGTGAACCAGTTGTTTTTTAGAAACATGTATGGCGGCTTGCCTTACAAATGTGGTTGCTGACCTCATTTATATAAATGTACTTAGATCCCAAAGCCTGTAGGATATTAATCTTTGTTGCAGGAAAAATGGAATTTAGGATTTCAGAGGGGTTTTGGAAGGTTGCAGGACCTGTGCTGGGTGTTGATGTTGATAAATCAGCAGCTTGTTCACGCTAAATGGGTCTTTCTTGCTTTGAATTTGGATAATGAAAAGTTTACTGGTGTATCCATCAAAGCATGCAAGATTAGTTACTTTTTAATCTTCTGAATATTAAGAGGTGCCAGCCTGAATTCTGAGAGATACACCTTATGCTAAGCATTTAATGTTGACAATGTCAACAACTGCAACATGCTCCTTTTCTGTATAATTTGAGCATACCTTGCAGGTTTCTGGAACTCTGCCAGTGCAGACTTTGAATAAGAATACTTGTGACTACTTTGACAGATTCTGAGTGTGTTCTCACTGGTTAAAAAAAGGTGGATGGCTTTGGCAGGAAGGGAATTTTTTTTTTAATAAGGCCCTTTTTTATTAGTCTTTCTAGTGCTTCCTGAAAACATGATAAGCTAAGCAACAACATCAAAAGATGCTGAGGTACAGGTATCCATAGGTTAAGCTGGGGATGGGGAAAATGGGGAAATCTTCTAACAGGAGTACACATATAAGTAATAGGGAAAGTTTAACTTTGTTCAAAACTAACTGCGGACACTGTATAAAATTGATATATCATCACAATTTATAGGCCTTAAGTACATAGCATGTGTTCTGAGGTAGTGGAAAATTAAAATGGGATTCTAGGAGTATAATATATGATATTTGTAGGGAATGGTTTGTGCAATAACAACAAAACATGAATGCTTTCATCTTAACAGTCACAATCTCTTTTTTAAAATACTTTGATGATGTAGTGTTCTGATAGGAGAAATGACAGTAAAAAAACACAGATTGTTTAAATTTATGGGGCTAATTTCAGTTCTGCAGTATGGTGTATACAACACAAATAATTTCAGAACATGTGTGGGAAAAACTGTAGCATTGCTACATTTTTTCCCCTTAGAGAGCTTTATTTATAAAAATGAGACAGTACTTCAGGTAGAAATTTAATCCAAAGGTTACCTTTTTTTAGCTCATCTTTATGTTTTAAATTCACCATGATTCTTTCACACTTGTTGTGGGCAATGGAGTATCTGAATGGTGTTCAACTTCAGAAACCTTATTTAGATGCTGGATTAAAAAAGTAGTTTTCCTTTAGTCAATTACAGTATTCAGTAAAGAACTAGGGTTTCTGAGTGATTTTGTCTGAGCTGCCTTTTGAAAACTGTTATTTATCAAGACTCAAGTTTTCTAATTTGGGCAATAACTATATGCCTAAAAATAATGTAAAATACTTCATTTTCCTTCTTCTTTCTCATCCTATGTTGACTTCAGTCATGTAAAACAGATGAGATGGGGACAGTTATTTTTCTTGATATTATTTCACATATATGGGCCTTACCAGTCTCAATTTCTATGTTAACTTCACCTGCTTCATTGCTGTAGTAGATCACAGTGCTGTTAAAGCAGTGCTGTCTTTTGTGAATATCTTCCAACATCTTCCATCTTTTGTAATTGTCTTCCAACATCCACTCTATCTGGAGTGAAAGGAGGAAGAAGATGTAAAGCTGTTTTTATATGATTTCTTTCTTTTACAAAACATTTCTAAATTAACCCACTAGTAGATTGCTTTCAATAAAGTTGAAGGTTCTGCCAGTTAAAGGTCAAAAATTGTAAAAAGCTAATAGGAAAAAGCCCTCAACAGTGCTCCTCCTGGATAGAGAAGGTGAACCCCATCACTGCTGATGGTGTCAGAAGGTCCCTGCCACATGTCCTCCTTGTTAGTTTAGCTGACAACCTCTAGCACAAATGATCTCATTTCAAGGAGCTGCTTCTGAGACCATAAAAATTCAAAGAAGAATGGAAAACAAATATTCTGAGAACTTTGTTTAGGCTTTCACAAAATCCTTTTCGAAAAGGCTAGTCTGAGCTGGGGAAGGGTGTATGGAGAAGGAGTGCATGCAAGATACTTTCACATGATAAGATAGTCACCGTCAACAATGACTACATTAAGACAGCAGTTAAATATTTTTATTTTCTGAATAAATTTATTTCATCACTAAACGTTGATTTTCAGATCAAACTACTGTGTACTTAACTGCTTTTTTGTATTTCATCTCTAACAAGGTAATGCTTTGAGGTATTTATGCTTCAAATCCACATACTGGGTTCTCTGTTCTCCCGTCTTCAGGGGAAATATTTCTTGATGGAGAAATTTTAAGTTTTAAATTGGGTATGGAGCTCAAGATGAGAGAAGCTTAGAAATACACCTTATTTAAATGAGTAAGCTTACCAGGAAACACTAGTATTCTGTGTCTGGAGAATAAAATTTTAAAAGCTAATGTTCTATATACCCAATTAACATTACAATAGTAGCTAGGTAGCTATAATTATTTGAATAATGCATCTTGTAACCAAATGATATATAGTTGATCTCAAACATCATGACTTCTACTTAATGGTTTGAAAATTGCCCTCTTAAACACTTACATGCTAAGTGGAGTTTAAAGATTGCCTTGCTAAATGAGTGAGTTTTTTGGCTTAGACGTTGAAACTACATTAAAATCACTGAAAAATGTGTGTCTTAGCTAAGCTATGTATAGAACATAGACAAAAAGCATAAAGTCCTTCACAGAGAGCCATTTCTGAAACTTCTGAAAAATACATTTTGAGGTAGTGAAAGCTGTGTCAAAGCTGTACTCTGCTGACATGCTGGTTTTTTAAACAAAATCTTCAAATTTGGATCTATTACCTGTTTTTTATTGTAGCTTATTTATTTCCAGATTCATTGGACTATTTCCTTTTTTCCCTTTTTTTTTTTTTCCTTTTTACTTCCTATCTTTATTTCTTCACACCAAATTAAATTACCTCTTTTTCCAAAACATGTGTGGAATACATGCAAAACAGTAATTGAAGTTGAAAGTTTTTCCTTGATGATTGAGACTGTTATGCAAATGTTGCATTTTTCACATGGATCAAGATAATGGCCATACTAAATTAGAAATTACTTTTTCTCCACTCCTTCTATAATTATTCCCTCCGTTACTTATTGGCATGTCATGATGCATCAGACACTGAATGATTTTTCCTGCTAGCTTGGTTAGATGTTTAGATGCTAACTGTGACCCTGAGAGTTAGTCAATAAACTGTCTCAATTTCTTCTCATATAGAAGCAAAATGAATTCTACAGAGAAACTAATTACTTATAATCCCCTTTTCTATGAATTTAAATTAGAAGTGTTTTGTATACCTGTAGAGTCCTCTATTTCCCCCAGGTAAAGTCCAGTGTCCTCTATCTGGGTGTTACAGAATGAAAATTTTACAATAGCTTTTAGAGCAGCTCTCAAGCCTGAACAATCTAAAAAAATGTAAAATACTTAAGATTATTCTAATAAAGCAAGAGAATTC